AACATAATGGCTAAAATGGCCAAAATTACAATAGAACTATACTAAGTTGACATTTTTTTGTTGAGAAACTTACATTTCACATTCTTTTCTTTTTCTTCCATCAACTTTTTGTTGAAGTTTTCTTCCATTTCTTGTTTTTCCTTTTGGCACCAAATAATGCAAATATTTTATAAAGACAATTTTAAAATAAAAATTCCATGTCATACATATTCTATTTTATATATTTTTGTACCTTTTTCTGTTCTTTGCACTTTTGCTGGAATTCATTTTTCTCTTTAGTAATTTTATCAACTTCTTCTTTCAAAGCTGCTGAATACCATTTTTCTTCCTGCGCAAAGATACCCAATAGTGATCAGTGCCCTTATGCAGGGCAAACAAATAATGACAAATAGAGGACATTACACGGGCTCTAGAGGAGATACAGATTTTATCTTCGAGTGTTTAAAAGATCTATCACAAATAAGCGTAGAGAACAAGTGAGAGATTTTCAATGCACGAAAAAGATAAAATTCGTATCTCCAAGCGAACATGTAATATTTTGTTTAATCATATAATTACATATAAAAGCAATATTAGTATACATACTAATGGTCTATCACTCATACTGCACTGTGATTGGCTACTCTACTAATGGTCTAATTTGTGATAGACCACTCGCGGGAAAATCAAAATAAATAAGTTATAAATTATAAATTATTTTAAGGATATTTCAATTTGTTTTCATTATTTGACCGATTAGTATGTTTATACTAAAACAATTAGACCTCTCGGCCTCGTGGACTACGAGCTAATAGCCCATTCGGCCTCACGGACTCAGCCTCATGGGCTATTAGCTCGTAGTCCACTCGACCTCGAGGTCTAATTGTTAAATATCAACTTTGTCTTCACGCAATCGAGAATATAGGTATTTCATAGATAATTCTATGATAAAAACTGGTTTAACCTTTAATGAAGCATTCACATCATTCAGTTCCTGCTGTAAGTTCAAAACCTCCTGGGTTTTTTCTTCAATCTCTTTGATTGATGTTGACAGTAATGACACCTCAGATTCTTTACGAGCTACAGGTCCATTGTCATCAAAAGATATCAAGGAACCTTGCTCTTCATTCCATATTTTTGTTGAATCATTTTGCTGAGTGATGTCTACTGCAGCTGATGCCTGAAGAGGAGCCTCAGTTGACTGAATAAAAACAATTCAAATAATATTATATTCAATTATATATAGTCGATTGACAAAAGG